GAAACGGCAGGCGCAGAGGCCTGCAGCCGCAGGCGGGGAACGTTGGTTTCCTCTGTCACTGAGGCAAGCAAGCCTCATGTTAGTTTCAAGCTGCCTGGCTGCCGGTGGCCAACTTGGCTGACAGTTAATTTGCATATCTCGCTGATTAGACAATGAAAAGGGTAGCGGTCGTACGCCAATTACCATGTTTCTCTTTTATTAGTGTAGATTATAAATAGATGGTAGGTGGATAGATGGATGGATAAATGAAAGGATGGAAAGGCAAAACAACTAAATGGGGAAATCTCAGCTTGCTAATTGAAATGCCACTGAAGGCTACTCATGTAATATTTGTAATAATATTACTTATTCTTCTTTCTTCGATTTATGTCTTATTGAAAAGTGTCTTTTGTAAGACCTTTTCCATATGGGCAAAAGCTCCACAAATGTAGATATAATGGAGGATGTTTCCTAAGAGGTTATATGCAATTATCTCTATGTTTATTATTATTATTTTAATTTATTTATGTTTATTAATATTATCTCACTGATTCCCTGGTCTTGAGTAACTTTGGCCTTGGAAGCAGCATGAAGTAGACTTCCAAGACACTCGTATTCATTTTGCCTTTACCTTCCTTTGATTATCTCTCATCATCATACTGTACATTAGTCTCTCCCAAGGACCACACAATGGTTGTTGGATACCTGGAAGCAAATGCATTGTCTATCCAACTGTTTGTATTATGTTTACAGACCGCTTCTTTGGATCACCGAATGGAACAGACTATGAATCATAGGTTATTAAATTAAATTACTGTGTAGCTGTACAATCATTGTAGGGATTGGTGAACAACAACTAATTCTATACCAGCTTTGTTATGTGTAAAGATTTTCTTAAATGGTTTTTGAAAAAGTCAGAAAAGTGATATGCAATAATGCTGGGCATACTGAAATGTGTCATACTATCACTTCAAACAGGATAGTAAAATTATTACCTCTTATACACTGCTTGGCAGTAAACAGTGCATCCACATACACCATCTCATTGACTGTCAAAATGATTCTGAGAGGTAAATAGGGAATGCCTTTGAATCTCCATTTTAAAAAGAGAAAATCAAGGCTTTGAGAGGTTCTCTAAGAAACTTGTACAAGTCAGTATGAGCGCGTGTTCTGGTGGCAGAACTGGAACCATGCTCCCCTACATCCTCGCATGTCTTCAAGGTTTTGGGATACCTCCCGTTTCCACAGCAAATGCAATGCATCATACCTGGCTTATTTCCTGCGTGGTTGCTATTTTGTCCTGAAATAGCAGAGTGCGGCCGGTTGGAGGCAGCAGTTTTCTTCTCATGTACTTTGTAGCTGTCAGGCGCTACACAGATGAGACAAAAGAGAAAACACATATTTACTTGCTTAAAATTTATTCAGAAACTTTTCACTTATTCAATATTTTCCTGTTAACCTTTGCATCGGGTACTAGGCTAGATTTAGGAAAAAAAAAAAAAAGATGACGCAGTTACAGTCCTTGCCCTCAAGGCACATGCTGTTCGTAGGGAAGGACACCTCCAACAAGCAACAGCCTGCGTGTAAGGAGCCAATCTGTAGCTGTGGCACGTTCATGGGTGTGTGAAGCCGTTTACCCTGCTGTCCCAGCTTTCACATAAAACAACCGTGTGGAAACATGATTGGAATCTAAAACCTCCGATCTTAGTTCTTACGAAGTTCGTGTGCTGGGCAGCAAAGAATTCCAAGAACACAACCAAGTAGGTCACCAAAAGGGAACCAGGATATAGAATGTACTATGGTTTTGAGAAAGCTTCAGACCGGAGTTCAACAGCAAAGACTGTTAAAGAGACCAAGGGAAGTGTATTCTAGGGAAGGAATGAAGGGCAGCAATACCAGGCAGTTCTCGGTTATATAAAGTATTGGGTTCTCCAGGACCAAACCATTTTTCTTTACCTGTATTACTTTATTTAACATATGTCCAGAGGGTACTTAAAGATGTTTGCTACACTTATAGACAGAACTCGTGTCAACAACCAAGCCCTCGCTGTGGCTCAGCGGTTAGAGCGTCAGCCTACACAGCTCTCATCCCACTCAGAGTAAAACACAAGGTCTCTATCATGGCCTAGAGCAGTGGTCGGCAAACTGCGGCTCAGCAAATCACGGCTTGCGAGCCACATGCGGCTCTTTGGCCCCTTGAGTGTGGCTCTTCCACAAAATACCGGCTCTTCCACAAAATACCGACTTTTGCGCATGGGCCACGAAGTTTCAATCGCACTGTATGTGCGCGCCGGCACGTGGTACTTTGTGGAAGAGCCACACCCAGGCGGCCAAAGAGCCGCCTATGGCTCTCGAGCCGCGGTTTGCCGACCATGGGCCTAGGGTATTATATGGTACAGCCTTTACCTTGTATCACTTTCCCTTTATCTGCCCTATGCATACTGACCAACTCAGTCCACCTCAGGGCCTTTGCAATGACCTGAAGTGTTTTCCCAGTTATCAACATGGATCTCTCCTTCACTTTCTTGGGGTCACTGCTCAAAGGTGACATGAAAGACTCCCCTTGACCTGTCTGAATTAGCACCCCGTCACTCAGCACTCCCCTCTTCTCCTTATCCTGCTGTTGATAGCCCTTGCCTCCTGACGACTTCCTTTCCATTAGGCTGATATTGTCTACAAAACAGAAATCATTTGCTCAAGGTTTTTAAGCCTGAAAGGATGTGATAACTATTGTGCTTCAAGAAGACTAAATTTAAAAATGTTACCCAAGATGTACTAAAAAAAATTGCTACATTTACAAAGTTTACCTTTGATCTCTGAATGGGGTATATATTGAATTTTTATGGCTCTCTCTCAATTACATATACTATTAGCTAGCACGGAAAATCAGACTTAATAGTAAAAAGTATCTCATGCAACTTAAATATTCCTCAGTTTCTATTTATTGGCATTAAATGCTCAAGCAAACATTGATTGGTTTAACTCTTATCCAATTGAGCTTTCTTTGCCTTATTTTCAGGGAAAGGTCTATAAAGACACAGTAAGAGAATGGACAGGCTGCTAATAAACAGCAAACAGTCTCAAATTAGTGGTTTCTGGTAGGATTTTGCCACTTGAGGAAATTTTACCAGGAGATTCACCACTGGAAAAAGGCTGTGTTCTGTGTGGACACACTTAACGCTGGGGGATGGGGACACACCAAGCAGAGCACGAGTGAAGCCAGGATATTTGAAATACTTTCATTATAATTAGTAAGCTGTTAGGGATCTTCTACTTATTTTTAATTCACTGAAAGATAATTAGGACCACTTGTTTAAACTATATTTCAAATGTATTCATTTCTTTCTTGCCTTATTATATTTGACATAATTTAAACTTTCTCTGGTAATTGAGTATCTGCATTGCCTCAGGTCCTGACAACAAATATCACCCTAATCGAATATTATATCACAGTGGGACACAAAGGAGATTAAAAAGACCACAACATGCCCTGGCTGGTTTGGCTCAGTGGATAGCACGTAAGCCTGCGGACTGAAGGGTCCTGGGTTCGATTCCAGTCAAGGGCACATGCCTGGGTTTTGGGCTCGATTCCCAGTAGGGGGCGTGCAGAAGGCAGCCGATCGATAATTCTCTCTCACTGATGTTTCTATTTCTCTCTCTCCTTTCCTCTCTGAAATCAATAAAAACATTTTTTTTAAAGACCATAGCACATTCAGTACAAGTGACTTTTCTGAATAATCCCTGATAATTTTTGGTTGAAATTTGCTTTATTATCTTGAACCTCAAGTGTAAAAAATAAATTGCAATTAAACTAGAGGTCTGGCTACTTGGATTCCAATTTATTTGTATCTATCTTTTATTGGATCCACTCTAATTAAACATCTATCTACTCACTTACTATCATCTGAATCTCAGAAATTCATTTCTATCCCAGAACACCTTCTGGGGCCTACTCAAGACAATTTTTAAAATCTATTTTAAGATTTTTTTATGTTCATGTAAAACAGGTTAAATTTAGTAAAATAAAGGGAATTTTAAAATTGTCAGCTGTTTAGTCCATGATTATATACTGCTAATTTCTTACCCTTCAGTTGGATATTTAGTTTTCAAGCTATCTTTCCACATTTTATAGGTTTTTATTTCTCTTTTATTACTATAAGATTCCTTATTTCCGCAAAAACCTCTCTGGTTAACACTCTATTTTGGTAAGAGGGAAGATACAGACTCAAAGAGACCTGCGTTCAAATACGAGCCCTGTTACTAACTGAATGACCTTCAGAAAGTGTCTTGACTTCTCTGAGTAGGTAGTAACGGGGCGAGATGGTGTAACTCACAGGGTTGTGGGAGGGTTCATTGAGAAGACGTATGCTAAAAGTCTACCACAGGGCTTGGCACACAGCAGGGTTAACAGCCATTCAGTCCAACTTCATCTTTCATGTTCCTCCATCGAGGGCCGGGCCTCACACACCCACAGCTCCTGTGGGGTGTAGGTGTCTGGAGGTTAGTGGGGTAGACGCGCTTTCCAGTCAGCCGACCTGGCTCTGCCATTTAAAACTGTGAAGCCTCAGCGTGCCACTTATCCTCAGTCCTAATCCCCATCTGTAGAGCAGGGAAACACACTTACTTTCAGAGTTGTGAAAATTAAATGAGACTGCCAAACCCATGGTAGGCTCAATAAATGGTAAAATGTGCTTTTTGCCCTCTATTTATTTCCTGTGCAACTGTGAGACGGTGGGTTCCTGTTTCCGTGCTCACCCAGCACGAACAGGGAGAGCGAGTTTATGGAACTTGGTGACAGTGGTCCTGGGAGCAAGGTACCGGCGAGGCAGGAAGGTCTGGCCCGGCTGCTGGGCTCAGGGGTTTTCAGCTCAGCCACAGCCCTCAGGTCGGCTACACTTTCTGGGAGGTTTTTAGGATACCCTAGTTTGGGAGGAGGCAATCATCAGTCTTTCTGAGACTTAGCAAGATGACAGTTTTCTGAGATTTAATGCCCTTCAAGTTATCATCACATTAAGTTAATATAAGCCTTAATAAAAAACCCTTCATCATAATGAGAAAATAAAAACTTATGAGAGACTCTTTTTTTTTCCCTTTTCCTTTCTCTTCTTCTTTTTCTTTTTTTAAACGAAGTGCAGGGACTTTCATGCCTTAGGAACACAATGAGAACACGAATTTATTCATGTAAGATCTCTAACACTTAAATACCTGGAAATGCTAGGTAGAATCACATGTACCATTTTTAAATTTGCCACTAAAATATAAATGACTCAGGTGACTGCCCAATAGTTGAATCACTTTCCTTCATTTTTTAAAAACTGAGAACTTGGCCACATACTATGATACTCAATAAGTCTTCGCCTGCTGCATAAAATCTTTATTGATCTTCCGGCTAGCTTGAAAGCTTTACTCCATTAGCGTCATGTGTGCATGTTGGAGAAAAGACAAGAGGAAGGATACAGAGAAGCACCCTGGTGGTCTGGGACTGTCTCTAAATCATTCTGAGCAAAACACAGAGGCAGCAGACATACAGGTCTCTCATCTAGCAAAAATTCTGCAGCTCCAGTGGGTGCCCCAACGTGCCTCCATGCTCCACATCCTCCATAACTCACTGCATTCCGTGCAACGTCCTCCAATTGATCAAAATAACTAGTCCAACAAATGCTTCATTTAGTGAAAAGTCTCTTTTTAAAAAATATATATCTTTATTGATTTCAGAGAGGAAAGGAAAGGGAGAGAGAAACATGATGGCAGAGAGAACTGTTGAATGGCTGCCTCCTGCACACCCCTACTGGGTATCAAGCCCACAACCCAGGCATGTGCCCTTGGCTGGATTCTAACCTGGGACCTTTCAGTCCGCAGGCTGACACTCTATCCACTGAGCCAAACCAGCTAGGGCTAGTGAAAAGTCTTATTAGAGTAATAAGACTTCAGAGGCAATCTTAAGTCCAAACCTCACTGATGTGTGGTTTTCACACCCACAAGGATAATGTATCTCTGTCACTATCTTAAACAAAATGTGGAGTGTAGGTGGGGAAATAGAGAAAGATTCACCCGCAGCTCTGCATGGGTTCTTCTTGGACTTTGTGGACACACCACCCGCAGGCGACACACACAGCTCTGGGAGAATAAATGAGAAGGCAGACCTAGACTTTCAGCCACATGTGACTGCCATCTTTTGCAGTAAGAAAGGCTGGCTATTGCAACTTCAAGTTTCAATCTCATAATTTTGATCTGTCTATGAAGAAAAGAGTTATCATAGCAGGACTGAGAGGGCTATCCTTAGACATGCTTGATGTTGCTACCGTGAATCTTAGCCACAAGCGTGACCATCTGCTGAGTTCTGAGTCTTCCTAGTGATCACAGGACCTG